AATAGCACTCACAAATACCCGTTCTTGTTTTCCATCACCACTACTATTTACAATTCACTATGAGAGGTCATCCAGAACATCACTAGCCCTCACGCTAGCGAGCTTCAAAGATGACGGACACTATATATATACTCTGACGAAATCTTCAATGCAATACTAGCCCACACGCTAGCTGCAGTTATGGAGACGTCTTCAAGCGCCCCACTCTTATCGCACTCGCTAGTACGCACAGCCAGTGAAGTCCACAGCGCTCAACTAGCCGCACTGGCTAGCACCTTCTAATAGTGAAGTCCACAGCGCTCAACTAGCCGCACTGGCTAGCACCTTCTAATAGTGAAGTCCACAGCGCTCATTGGTAATCACTGGCTAGTTCACCTTCAGCACGGGCCAGTCCACACACCGTATCGTCACGATGTCCTGATCCCCACATCCAAAAAACACCCTGACAGAGGTCTTCAGCAACACGTTGACAGGGTTCTCAAATAATCACTGACCGGGGTAGCTAACACCCCTGGCAGAAGTCTTTAGCATCCCCACTAGCAGCACTTCTCAGCAGATGAACACTACTGTCTTCTCGTAACTCCTCTTCGCCAAATCCCGGGTACGTCGGTCCATACTACACTACATAAGTCAAGCAGCTAACCCACTGCTAATACAGAGAGTGGTCCTCTTTGTCCTCTCACAGGACCAAATCAGGAGTTCTTGACAGCCCAAGGTGAACTGCCCTCAGCACAATCGCCTCTTTATGTCATCTCTGTGAACATAAACGTCATAAGCCAGACAGACAGTGTGCTGGGTGACCTTAGGATAACACCCTTCACCGAGGAACTGAAATTGTAATTGCATGCACAACCTAAATGGCCTGATACCGTTACGCTACCCACCAGAGATCATCATCGACCTCACCTCCTAACTGACGTATGAAACAGGAGCCTTTCACCGTCTCCACACCACCGCCAACAGATGGCGTTGTCTGAGTCTCTCCTAATACCTGGGAATTGGAGAGCAGGTCCATAGATGGCGCCGAAATCGCCACGCCATACCCCAGCAACGGTGTTGAATAACGTAACAGTCTTCCAACATGATTCCTCCCAAGTTTTTTTTATATAGCCTTCTTTTTCTATAGTGTTATTTGGCAGCAGTTTACATGTGGATCCAGTTTTAATATTTTATGTTTTTTTTTACCAAAGCGGAGTAACTGGGAGTTGTCTTCACTGACTCTTATGTTGTTTTGTGTGACCCATTGAAAGATCCAACCCGTCCTCGACTCAAGTCCATTACATTCAGCGGTCGACCCAACACACGCATTCATAAATTTTAACATGCTGTTCATTCAAAACGGGCATTTTCTCAAGTATAAATTAATGTTATAATATATTGGCATATTGTGTATATATAGGCATAGGATAGGTTAGGTGTTTAGGTTCTGTTGGCGATTATTTGTATTTGTAGTACGTGGGTGAAGCATTTATAGCGTTGCGATTTGAACAAAATTCGTCAGTGAAGCACTTGTTCCGGATATGTTCGAACGTCAGCAGTTGTGAGTCGTGTGTAACAGCCCGTCCTCCAAACAAAGATCCAAAAGTGATTCCATGCACCCGCCAAACCCCCTGTTTATGAATGAAAAGCGGTTTACACACGACTCACAACTGCTGACATTCGAACATATCCGGAACAAGTGCTTCACTGACGAATTTTGTTCGAATCACAACGCTATAAATGCTTCACCCACGTACTACAAATACAAATAATCGCCAACAGAACCTAAACACCTAACCTAACCTAACCTATGCCTATATATACACAATATGCTAATATATTATAATATAAATTTATACTTGAGAAAATTCCCGTTTTGAGTGAACAGTATGTTAAAATTTATGAATGCGTCTGTGGGGTTGACCGCTGGATGTAATGGACTTGAGTCGAGGACAGGTTGGTGTGTAAACCGCTTTTCATTCATAAACAGGGGGTTTGGCGGGTGCATGGAATCTCTTTTGGATCTTTGTTTGGAGGACGAGCTGCCAAAGCCGTCAAAGATTGAGAAAAGATGTACACGTTCGTAAGTACTTGTATAACTGCTTCGTGAATCTGGCCCCAGGTTTACATCAGTTTATGGTTCCCCAACTACCATGGTCATTAACGTTCCTCCATTTAAGAAGCCTTATCTACAATGATCATTAAGAAGCCTTATCTACAATGATCATTAAGAAGCCTTATCTACAATGATCATTAAGAAGCCGCCAGTACCATGATTATTTACAACTCGTTACTCCCATGACATAACGGTATTCGGTAATTTTCAATATAGCTTCATTATAATCATTATTATAGAGGTGAAAGAAATATCGTCGTTTTAAAACAAAAAATGTGAATTGAAAAAAAATTACATTTGTCTCGCGACAGGGAAATGAGAGTAGCCCCAAAAATATGCCCAAAACCAAAAATAATTAGGATGATGATGCTGTTGAGTCTGTCTCCAGACCTCACAAATATTAATGATATTTTCGCTCATAAATGGCTTGATTATCACTTCGTTATGCTGTCTTTACTATTATTTTAATGAGTACTTTTTAACTATTATTATTTTGCAAGTACTGGCATTGTTGTTTATTGCTAGTTAAAAAGATGGAGTTGTTGTCGCTAACGTTCTTTTGTTTCCCCCCAACTCTAATAATGATGGTACTTTTGAAGCAATTAACGACTGACGCCTCGCATTACCACTCGCATGGCTCCTGAATTATGTGACTGACGCCGACGATAACTCTCCTCGCTATATTTATGTCGACGCTTCCACAGAAGCTGTTGTCGCTATCATTAGCGAGAGCCTGGGTCAGGTACAAGCCGTTCCGTCGGGGGGGGCGCTTATACCGGGTCCACCGCTGCGCTTGTCCTGATCTAGACGACACGCCTCCAGAGGGGGTGCTGATTGTGTTGCGCCTAGAGAGGGAAGCTGATTGTGTTGCGGATCCAGAGGGGAGCTGATTGTGCTGCTGTCACTGCGGCTTCTCGTTTTATTATCCGTGATAAGTCTAGCGTTGGTGGGTGTGGAGGAGGAGCTGGTGGTGATGTTTACTGCTAATGAAGCTGCCGTCAGGGACGAGGAGAGTAGTCTCAATGCTTCTCCATGCTTCTCCTGTGATGTAGCTGATAATCCCGGAAGCTGCTGCTTCCGTTTTCTGTCGCTGGTTCCTGGTTTTATTATTTTCGTCTGCTCCTGCTGCGTCTGCTCCTGGCGCCTTCAGCTGCTGGTCCTCGTGGTTCATTTTGACGTTATAGGCTGATTCTGGCGATGCTGCTGATTGCTGCTTTTGTGGGGAGCTGTCAGCTACTACTGGCTGTAATACCAAGCTTTTGCTGCTTGAAGGTGTTCCTGACAGCGGGTAGTTCCCCCTGAATCAACTTCTGCTACAGATCATCTTCTTAACTGCAGCTGGTGCTGATGATTGTTGCTCTTGATGATTGTTGCTGCTGCTGATCTACTGGTATCCCTGCTGGTGGGCCGTGCTGCAATATCTCCCACTGTCTGGTGAGTCCTCCCACCGACTGGTGAGTCCTCCCACCGACTGGTGAGTCCTCCCACCGACTGGTGAGTCTTCCCACCGACTGGCGAGTCCTCCCACGGACTGGTGAGTCCTCCCACGGACTGGTGAGTCCTCCCACGGACTGGTGAGTCCTCCCACGGACTGGTGAGTCCTCCCACCGACTGGTGAGTCCTCCCACCGACTGGTGAGTCCTCCCACCGACTGGTGAATCCTCCCACCGACTGGTGAGTCCTCCCACCGACTGGCGAGTCCTCCCACCGACTGGTGAGTCCTCCCACCGACTGGTGAGTCCTCCCACCGACTGGTGAGTCCTCCCACCGACTGGTGAGTCCTCCCACCGACTGGTGAGTCCTCCCACCGACTGGTGAATCCTCCCACCGACTGGTGAGTCCTCCCACCGACTGGCGAGTCCTCCCACCGACTGGTGAGTCCTCCCACCGACTGGTGAGTCCTCCCACCGACTGGTGAATCCTCCCACCGACTGGTGAGTCCTCCCACCGACTGGCGAGTCCTCCCACCGACTGGTGAGTCCTCCCACCGACTGGCGAGTCCTCCCACCGACTGGCGAGTCCTCCCACCGACTGGCGAGTCCTCCCACCGACTGGCGAGTCCTCCCACCGACTGGCGAGTCCTCCCACCGACTGGCGAGTCCTCCCACCGACTGGCGAGTCCTCCCACCGACTGGCGAGTCCTCCCACCGACTGGCGAGTCCTCCCACCGACTGGCGAGTCCTCCCACCGACTGGCGAGTCCTCCCACCGACTGGTGAGTCCTCCCACCGACTGGTGAGTCCTCCCACCGACTGGTGAATCCTCCCACCGACTGGTGAGTCCTCCCACCGACTGGCGAGTCCTCCCACCGACTGGCGAGTCCTCCCACCGACTGGCGAGTCCTCCCACCGACTGGCGAGTCCTCCCACCGACTGGCGAGTCCTCCCACCGACTGGCGAGTCCTCCCACCGACTGGCGAGTCCTCCCACCGACTGGCGAGTCCTCCCACCGACTGGCGAGTCCTCCCACCGACTGGTGAGTCCTCCCACCGACTGGCGAGTCCTCCCACCGACTGGCGAGTCCTCCCACCGACTGGTGAGTCCTCCCACCGACTGGTAAGTCCTCCTACCGACTGGCGAGTCCTCCCACTGACTGGCGAGTCCTCCCACCGACTGGTGAGTCCTCCCACCGACTGGCGAGTCCTCCCACCGACTGGTAAGTCCTCCCACCGACTGGCGAGTCCTCCCACTGACTGGCGAGTCCTCCCACCGACTGGTGAGTCCTCCCACTGACTGGTGAGTCCTCCCACCGACTGGTGAGTCCTCCCACCGACTGGTAAGTCCTCCCACCGACTGGTGAGTCCTCCCACTGACTGGTGAGGCCACTGTTGCTAACGGCATCCTCTTGGCCGCCTGTGTCACAGCTCCTGCCCCGAGGACCTACAAGTTGCAGGCATAATGGGCTTAATGACGGGTGCATGTTCTGCATACGATTAATCTTTATTGTCTGGGCAAAGTGTGTGGTCTATCGCGGAGACCTTTTTTACTACCTCACAATGACTGTATTAAGATATTAATTACCAAATAAAACCGTGATTGCGTTCTCATCGCGCGTAAAAAAAAAGGTATTTTCAAACTATATGAACATAAAGATGAGTTAGGTGAGCGTGTAGCGCAGCTTAAGAGGGATGATAGCTGAGGGTTACCTTACCTTGAGGTTACCTTACCTTGAGGTTACCTTACCTTGAGGTTACCTTGAGGTGCTTCCGGGGCTTAGCGTCCCCGCGGCCCAGTCGTCGACCAGGCCTCCTGGTTGCTGGACTGATCAACCAGGCTGTTGGACGCGGCTGCTCGCAGCCTGACGTATGAGTCACAGCCTGGTTGATCAGGTATTCTTTGGAGGGTACTCGACTAAATGTACTCAGCTACATCTCACCAGACGTGGAGGGTTCAGACGTAGAGGGCTCAGACGTGGAGGGTTCAGATGTGGAGGGCTCAGACCTGGAGGGCTCAGACGTAGAGGGTTCAGACGTGGAGTGCTCAGACGTGAAGGGCTCAGACTTGGAGGGCTCAGACTTGGAGGGCTCAGACTTGGAGGGCTCAGACGTGGAGGGCTCAGACGTGGAGGGCTCAGACGTGGAGGGCTCAGACGTGGAGGGCTCAGACGTGGAGGGCTCAGACTTGGAGGGCTCAGACGTGGAGGGCTCAGACCTGGAGGGTTCAGACGTGGAGGGTTCAGACGTGGAGGGCTCAGACGTGGAGGGCTCAGACGTGGAGGGCTCAGACGTGGAGGGCTCAAATGTAGAGAAAAAATTTGGTGAAAACACTGTTTAGAGTGAATATTACCACTATAGATTTTAATGTAATATAGAATAAAATCTATAGTGTTTTGCTTTGCTCACAAAGATCTAAAGAAAAAAATATACCCTGAAGAAAAGAAACTTGAATTCAGAGGCTTCAATATCTCCAACTCTTCGTCCAGAAACTTGTAGTTATAAATGCGAAGAAGCAAGGATCAAGTGTTCAAGTTTATATCTGTGTCTTGAGAAATAATGTTTCTTCGAGATTGGGGCCAAACGTTTAGAGCTAGTCTCACCAAAGTTTGCACGGTAACTGGTCATTGTCCGGGGATGGTTATTGATGGGTGGGGGTTGAGCCCCATGCCCAACCACTTCATTTCCATGAAATGGGAAATTACACTAATTCCAAATCTCACAAAGTACCACACTCCATCTTCACTAAGATTCATCTAGCATAATATTTGCTACATGTTGATTAAATATTAGTTTCTAAGAGGGGAGCCGGTCGGCCGAGCGGACAGCACGCTGGACTTGTGATCCTGTGGTCCTGGGTTCGATCCCAGGCGCCGGCGAGAAACAATGGGCAGAGTTTCTTTCACCCTATGCCCCTGTTACCTAGCAGTAAATAGGTACCTGGGTGTTAGTCAGCTGTCACGGGCTGCTTCCTGGGGGTGGAGGCCTGGTCGAGGACCGGGCCGCGGGGGACACTAAAGCCCCCGAAATCATCTCAAGATAACCTCAAGATAAGACACTCGCTTGACATCACCGTGCAAAGTTCCGTGAGGCATCAAGCTCCCTAATCACCTTCCAAATGGCTTGGCGCTTTCTCCTGATAGTTCACTTCCCTTCCTGGCCTCCAACCTCGGCCAGGTAAACAGACACTCCGATATTCTCTTATATAAATACAGATGATCCTCTTGTGGGTCTGTGAACACATAAGATGTCAAGGGGACTTAAGGAAATCTAACAAAAATAATTAAAGAAAGAAGTTTGTCCTTCGACTGTTGGATCTGATGTAGTAACTATCGGACATTCTAGGTATTGCATCTGAACCTTCATTCCTTCTATCATGCATGCAATTAGACCTTTATTCCTCCTGTTATGCTCGAATCTGAACCTTTATATTCCTTCTATCGTGCTCATTCCTTCCTCTCTTTTCGTCTTTTCGTCTCAAGTCATTTTTTGCTCCCTATCTCCTTTCTCTTATCTCTCTCTCTCTCTCTCTCTCTCTCTCTCTCTCTCTCTCTCTCTCTCTCTCTCTCTCTCTCTCTCTCTCTCTCTCTCTCTCTCTCTCTCTCTCTCTCTCTCTCTCTCTCTCTCTCTCTCTCTCTCTCTCTCTCTCTCTCTCTCTCTCTCTCTCTCTCTCTCTCTCTCTCTCTCTCTCTCTCTCTCTCTCTCTCTCTCTCTCTCTCTCTCTCTCTCTCTCTCTCTCTCTCTCTCTCTCTCTCTCTCTCTCTCTCTCTCTCTCTCCTTCCTCCCTTCCCACCTGCCGAGGTCGAGACCTTAAACCGCAGAGTTATTACGGCCCAACCACTGCCCCGCTTCAATCCACAAAGAATAGTAATAATCACCTAATCAGAAAACCTCACAATATGTATATATATATTTTTTAAAGCCGCGTGTGTGTGTAACCACTTCTTAAGAGACTGTAAACATTCAGTTGCCCACACTATCGGAAAACCGCACACTTGTAAACAAGGCGGCCAGAGGGCGTCTGGCCTGATCTGCCTGTGAGATGAGGCGGTGGATGCTGCTCTTCCTCCCGTAAGGCGGGATGCTGTGACCTCAGGAATGTTGGTTGAGTTGTATATTGCTGTGGGTGGCGGTGTGTGGTATAGCCATCGAAGCCACCGCCAACTGCTTCTTGTGAGAGAGAGATATTATGGCTCTGCTGATAGCCTGTCCTCACATGTGCCACCGTACTCATAGTCTGTTGTGGTTTAAGATTCGTTACTTGGAAGAAAATGTTCCGAGTAGCACTGGCTATGGTGAGCCCGTTGTGGACTTACCTGGCACAGGAGCGGGGCTGTAACTTGGCCACCTCATAGTCGTTGTTGTTGTTATAGATTCAGCTACTCGGAACAAGTTCCAAGTAGCACGGGCTATGGTGAGCCCGTAACTTACCTGGCACAGGAGCGGGGCAAGTAGCACGGGCTATGGTGAGCCCGTAGCGGACTTACCTGGCACAGGAGCGGTGCCGTCACCTCATAGTCTCTCCTCACGTTATTTTATAGCTCCCCTCTCATCACTCCTCACATAATCTGCTCTTCGTAATTCACGCTTATTGAAAATTAAACTGACAGCCTGTTAGGGGCGGATAATCTTCATTTATTAATTAGTAAAATGGCTAATTTTTTTTAAGTCTCAAGACACGAACTCGCTTTCTGAGTGTGGCTGAGTGGGAGTGTGGTCGAGTCGGCGGTAAAGACCTGGGTTGGACTCCGGTTCAGGGCCTTCAGAACCCCCCAGTGAATTTAGTAGTTCTAGGTTGGTCGACTTTTGTGCCATCATGGCTGAGTCGGTTAAGGCAGGTGTCTGGGAATCACCAATACATGAGTTCAGCTCACTCCGTTGCTTCGTGTATATATATACACGGAGCAACAATATATATATATATATATATATATATATATATATATATATATATATATATATATATATATATATATATATATATATATATATATAATAGGACCATAGTACATCTTGAGGTTATCTTGAGATGATTTCGGGACTTTTAGTGTCCCCGCGGCCCGGTCCTCGACCAGGCCTCCACCCCCAGGAAGCAGCCCGTGACAGCTGACTAACACCTAGGTACCTATTTTACTGCTAGGTAACAGGGGCATAGGGTGAAAGAAACTCTGCCCATTGTTTCTCGCCGGCGCCTACATAGGACCATAGTAAATATACCGACGTACAACGCAATTAGTACAGCGTATAGCATGTGTTGTCACCTGTGTACTGAGTGTAGCTTGTGTATTATATGTAGTATATATGGAATATGTAGCCAGCTTTATATTCGCGAAGCCAGCTTGATTCTCACGAAGCCAGCCTCGTACTCACAAAGCCAGCTTCAGGCTCACGAAGCTCAGATTCATGAAGCCGTTACTTCATTGATGATCACATCCCAGCTTCACACTTCACAACCAGCACTGGGATTTATACTATCCAAGCGTCGTTACTAGGCTAACTACTAACGAAGTCGTCACAGGACATCACTAAGCTAACTACTAACGAAGTCGTCACAGGGCGTCACTAACCTAACTACTAACGAAGTCCTCACAGGACGTTAGTAAGCTAACTACTAACGAAGGCGTCACAGGGCGTCACTAAGCTTCACGCTAACGAAGCCGTCACCTTGTTTCAGTAGCGTTCAACTAGCCTGTTCGTACTAACCTCTGACCTCAGCTGTTCCTCCGGTGATTGTCGGGGAGCATGTGGCATATACGTGCTCCTGTGTGGTGCTCTGTTCGCTCGTTTAACTGGGGTGGTCCAGTTCGTTACCTTAACTGCTTCCTGTAATGGTTCCATTAACTCAACTGGCTGTCAACGGCGATGAAACCACAGGCACCGTCGACTTATAATGGTGAGATTTGTCTTGGAAGTGAAGTACAGTGATAAAGAGCTTAGAGTGACATCTAAGAATAGGTGGGTCGTGAGGTAATTGTTCCAGCAAAACGGAGAGATTATACGACTGTAATGTGCTAAGCCCACGAGAGCTGCTGACAAGGCAGTTGTTCTTGATTTACAAAACTGTGGTGTTAGCTTATTGCTGCATTTATGTTCGTCATTAAATGTGCTGCAATTTGCATGTAAAACTGGATTAAATATATATATATAAATAATAAATAATGTGAATAGTAAAATGATGAAGAAACATATATAAATTTATAAATAAGAAAGTTATTTTTCTTATATACTGAAATTTTTGGACTAATTTAATAAGCAAAAGAGGAATTAAAGACATTTTCTCTTTGTAAAAGTTTGTTTTCATGTTCAATAAAGCACTTTATTTGGACTACTTTTAATTGAATAAAATTGGTGTTCCTCTCAGAACATAATAGTCAACAGTTGTTATATTCTGTGACAGGATGGCTAAGTTCCTAGTTTGTAGTTAATAATTAAATATTTATAATATTTAATTGCTAACAATTATACTGTAACAAAGTAACGATGATTTTATGCAAGAAAAATTAGAACTAGAATTGTATTTCGCCCATTACAATTGCAAACTTTTTAAACTACTAACATTATAATTATCCAATTTTTCTTAGATCACACGTATTGCACTTATTGAATTTAATAATATTAAAAATATTTGCAATATATTATGCAAATAAAAATAATAATATCTAGAATTTACTGATCGACGACATCATAATTTAAAATATTAGGCATATATCAAGCCACTAAGTAACTTTAGCTAAATGGTGTTAGAAGGATTTTTGTGTGACAAAGTACACTGTAGTCCTTAGAGACCCAATCACAGTTAACTACTGAAGTTGGTTTTAATATTAAATATAATGTGATTTTGATCAACAACTTTGAACACATTGAACAAAGGGGTCTGAAATATCATTCATATTCACGTTCAATAAAAGTGTTCAAGTAAGCGTCTGAACTACTCGTCACAGAATTCCCAGGATAAATATTAGCCCAGCCTTAATAACTCTCCAAAAGTGCCTATAGCCAGGACGAATTCACGTACCAAGAGTGAGAGAGATGTACGCCGTTTCGGGCAGCATATATAGCATTTACAGTCTCCGTGGTGTAGTGGTAAGACACTCGCCTGGCGTTCCGCGAGCGCTATGTCATGGGTTCGTATCCTGGCCGGGGAGGATTTACTGGGCGCAATTCCTTAACTGTAGCCTCTGTTTAACGCAGTAAAATGTGTACTTGGTTGTAACAACGATTCTTCGCGGCAGGGGATCGTATTCAAGGGACCATAGGATTAAGGACTTGCCCGAAACGCTACGCGTACTAGTGGCTGTACAAGAATGTAACAACTCTTGTATATATCTCAAAAAAAAAAAA